ATACACGAACTTGGACACACTTTGGGGTTGGGTCACGCCTCACTTGCCACGAGTCTCATGTTTCCTACGGCAGGTTCGCCATTAAATCAACTGCATTCGTCGGATTTTACTTTTAGTGCACAATTGTATAGGAATTAGTAAGGGGTTTTGATGTGGTTGATTGTTTTTTTTTTCGCAAGAGCTTCGTTCTACGACGCCCATTACTATGTATGATTGTGTTTACACTTGTATTATTCAAACAAAACTGTAAATATAACGCACAAGTATCTATATTTAAAAAAAAATAAACGAGTGACCGGCACACATTTTTAATCATCTCTTTGAACAAGAGTAAAGTGTTAGTGGTAGATTCCTTTGAAATAACTCGCAATTTTCTCAGATACAAAAACTCTCGACCGATAAAAGCTTTTATCTAGGAAAAAAAACAACGGGTTCATCCATATTATAGTTTATTTTGACTGCAATTTAGTTTGCGTTCCTCCTAACCCCCACCAGGGTAGCTTGCTTTAGCGGCCAACCTCTACAAACTAAACACCATTTATAAAACAAATTGACCGATATTCTATAGGAGAGTAAAAGTCGATTAGATTGGAATATTCGCATGTACTTTTCGTAACGTTTTTGTTTCACCTCTTGGAGTCTCGCTAAAGACTGGATAAAAATGCCCATCCCATCATTTTTTCGTTATCTAGTATGGGGTCAGAGAATGTTTCTCACATGGTTTCCCATCTACTTACAAGGCAAGTGTTGTCAAAATTATAGAAATTTATCGCGTCCTTTCACACAGTTTACTGATATTGTACAGTGCAAGTTATATCTGTCATATACACGTATAAATATAAATATCGATATACAGCCGTGTATTCCATCGGTGCCCTCGAGTCGGGTACATAAGGCGATTGGATTGTGTGTAAGTCTGTGGAAACAATATGGATCGGTCCCACAAGGAAATCCTTCAATATACAAATAATAGAGTACTAGTGGAAACATTTCGATACAATGGTAATATATCACCCACACAACTTTATCGGGAGATTGCGTTGAATTTAAACCACGACGATGGTCACATATTGAAATGTTTAGAAGTTATCGACTATCGGTACGAAAATGATCACAATGAAAATGTACCCCGCGCTCAAAGAAAATGGAACCGTCACGTTTGATGTCCTGTGTAATAACGGCAGATACCCCAACCCATAAAAATTGCGCCGGACACATCGTGGATCAAAGAGGGCCTACGTTGGAGTTTTCAGAAAAAAAATGAGAGTCTATGGTACTAAAACTCGTGATGAAACTGAAACCCGTTTGGCCAATTTAATAAAATATTCAATGTTATGTATGTCGACTTTTAATTTGTATAATTATAATTACCTGTTGGATGATGGATGACGCGAGCTCGTATATCAGTCTTTACACCTGATTGTGCACAACAAACATAACCATTTAAACCCGTGTTTATAAAAAACGACAAAGATGGCCCTTATGCTCGTTTCTTGTCACAAGCTTGCCTCTAGAGATTCATTAATCAATTTATGTAACGGGGTATATTGGAAAAAACACAAGTATTGAACTACAAGGATGGGATTTAAAAGTAATTACACTTTTGTAGAATCATCAGCGTTTAATCTAGCTTCCTTTCAATAGAGCGGGGGTAAGCTTTTTTACATACGTATCCATTTCACGGTGGTCAAGGAGAGTCTGGATAAAAAATGACCATCCCTACCATGTTTTTTTAGTCATCTAGTATAATTTTTTCATGCCATCATTTTTTTATTCTTTTTTTCCATACGTCTGGTCCACAAGAGACTAAAGAAAAACTGCAAGCCACGCCCATTTTCGTTATCTAATATGGGGTCACAGCACATGTGCACATGTGGTCTACTATAACACGTATAGCGTAGAAAATTAATTTCTTGTCATTTAGTGCGAATTACCCCCCCCCCCCTGATATTTTTTCATTTTTCTCATACGTCTTCATTTCACGGTGGTCCACGAGAGACTGGGAAAATTTGATCATCCCCACCATTTTTCGTTATCTAGTATGGGGTCGGAGGTCGTAACTATATAAATAGGTGCAGTCTCGCGCGCGAGCTTCTTTTACTTTAATATTTCACATTGTCCAGAAGTAAAAGAGGAGCAGGGAGATGACGCTGTGAAATATGGGGGGGCTGGGCTCCCGCTTGGCCCAAAAATCGCTTTTGGCGCATTGTTGGTTCCAAATGTGCTCCACATTTGAATTATTTTCTGATATTTATTTTTAAATTTAAATTGAATTTACTCGGCCTCTAGAGTCTACTCGTTGGCTTGAAAACGCCAAGAGTCGGTGTAAAACCAATTTGGAGCACAGGTGGTCAACTGGCGAGGACGCGTCATTGCAGAAATCAGAATTATTTTCTTTACCCAGCCTCCGATCGAGAGCCGTTGGTTTGAAAACGACAAGTGTCGGTGTAAAACCAATTTGGAGCACATGTGGTCAACTTGAAAATGTATAGTGTAAAAAAAATAAATTTATTTAGCCAGCCTCTAGATCGGTGGCTCGAAAACCAAACTTGAAAATGTATGAAATTTAATTAAATTACCAGCTTGAAAAACGCTAAGAGTCGGTGTAAAACCAATTTGGAGCACATGTGGTTGACTCTGGAAATTTATAAATTTATTTAGCTAGCCTCTTCGAATCAGTTAGCTTGAAACAGTTTTAGAGCAAATGTGGTCAACCTAGGGATATACTTTACTGTGATGGTTACTTGTAATGTTGTGTTGGTGGAATAAAAAGCAAAAGTGTAAACTTTATCGTTTATTCGTTCTCAAAAGAGTCTATGGAATTGGATTGGGCTTGTGTAATATAATTTACCAATTTGGAACTAAATTGTTGTTTTGCCCGTTTTACAACTTTATCATATTTACAATATTTAACATAGAATCCTAAAACGGCCACTATACCAAACACTCCGAACAAGTTTAATGTCAACAACAATAACACAATTGCACTATAATTGGATTGCGCTGGATCCATTGCATTTGTTGAATTACCATTAAATTCAATCGAATCATTTTGCGACCATAATGTTAAACACTGTGTAATTGCCGCTTGTGAAAAATAATAGTAGGATTGGTCCATCAACACATTCTTCTTTTCCACTCCACAATATATGGGGTTTAGTGACAATACTACCTCCATTATTCTCCTCCACGTTCAAATATCACAAAATTCCTCTTTAAAATGTAACGAACAATATAATCGTCGGAAGATAGTATGTCTGACGGGGTGAGTTTGTCGGGGAGTCGATCTTGGTTTATAAATATTGTACCACAAGGTATGGGGCTCCGGGTTGCTTCAACGTCGCACGTAAACTTGAGCAATACCGAGAAAAAAAGTTCTTTCGTTTCTACCACATCCTTGGGAATGAGGACTCGTGATGCGGGATGCTTGTTAAATTTTACACTTTTGTTCAATTTGTACAACAAAACGGGACCACCGCGAAATTTATATATTCTAGAAAACGTATCCTTTTCATCCCATAAACTACGCAATACTACAATATTCAATGTTAGTGCATTCTCCTTTTCTAGATTTTCAGCGCCTGCATTCAAAGTTTCCCCGTCCTCCTCCCCCCACACACTTTCATCGTCCTTGTCATCCACCAGAGAGTCTGTGTCAGGCTCGTACTCGTTCAATAGATTGGATATTGTGTTTAAATTGCGCAAATTAATATCAGGCTTGGAAACAGTTGCGGTCGGTGGTCGTTTTAATCTTTGCATTTTAACCCAGGGAGAAATTAAACTGACTCGACGGGGGGCCTCGTTTGACTGCTCTATTAGAATGGACGGGTGCTTTTATCGTTGTGACCGTGTCAATTCTTATTGTGCATGCGGGCGCTTCTACGTAGGTAGTGTTCCCCACCTCAGTCCATGCATCAAAACTCAATACTCGTTCATACAGATTCCATATGGCCAACAAATTCATCACGCCAATCTTGTGTTTGCGCAAGTTGTTAATGTACACGTTCAACTGTTTGGGCGCATTCAAAGTCGCTTCGTCCTCCTCCTCCTCCTCCAACCCACTACATTTTCCTCTTTGAAATAATTTGGCTAGTTTGTTTTTTATGGTGCGATGTGGCGACGTAGCCGGCGACATTGGTGTCGAGTCCGGTGGCGGAGGCGCATCTGTTTTTGTTATAGAATTGGTCAATAAAATGCGCACTTTTTCTTGGTTAATAGTGTACAACATTACGCCCAATTTGTTTAAAAACTCTATAATCAATATCGGATGAGCGAGGAGAATCACAGACCCCTCGTTTGGTGATTTGGAAAGACAAAAGGGCAATATTGGTTTATTTTTTTCGCTTTGTAAGGCACAAGTGTATATTTCAATCTCCTTTAGGTTTAATCTAATCATATAATAGTCGACTAGTGTGTTTAACAGCGTTTTATAGTCGCAACGTCTGCTTGCCAATAAGTCGAGCTTTTGCAACACGGGCACCTGGGCGGGTGGCATGTTGTGCGGCACCCAATGAGCATGATCAAACATACAATGAATAAAAGTTAAAAAATTGTCTGTAAAATTGTTACAAATTTCAAGCTTTGCATTGGTCATTATGTTTTAGACGGATCGACCAATTGCACTTATATTTTGAGCCGACCGCTCTGAAAATCGAATATATATATCCCTGGGTAGAGACGTTCGCCTCATCAGTACCGCAATGACTCACCTACTACCCGCACCTCTCAAGATATTCTGGTGTTTGTTAGTGTTTAAAATTATGGATTGGTTGGAATTTATCGGCGCCCACATGAATCGTTTATGGGACAAGTGCATTCTATTATTGTTCCGATTTGGGTTCAAAATTGTAGATGCCGTGAACATTATCGGTGGCTATGTCGACTTGGTGTCTGTGTACCGTATAAAGTCTCCACTCTATGACAAGAATCGCCAAAGATTTACATTTTATGCACCGTCCAATCGTCCATTTGACGAAAAAGCAATAACGTTTTTGAGAGAGATGCAACTTCAACATTGGAATCCGGGCGAATTGGATTTTCAGAAAGATATTCCCGACTTTGAAAGCCTCCCACGTCCACTACAAGAGACACTGGTGGGCCTGTTGGCGTTTTTTGCATTCGGGGACGGCGTAGTGGACGAGGTGATTGATCATGTGAGAAAGAAGATACAAATACCAGAAGTACAAGCGTTTTATTGGTCCCAGGGAGACAGCGAAATTGTACACGGACAAACGTATGGTGATATGATTCGAGCGTTTGTGCCCGATCAAAAAAAACAGGATCTCCTGTTGACCGAGTGCGGTGAGATTTGTAATCTTCAATTGAAATTGGATTGGGTAAATAAATGGACCAAAAACTGGCTACCTTTACCCGTTTTGTTGTGCGCCATGTTGATAATTGAACAATTGTGGTTTAGTACGGCGTTCAACATTATAAATTGGCTACGCGTTTTGAACGTTATGCCCGAAATGGTTAGAGCCAACGAATTTATCATTCGCAATGAGAAATTGCACGGCGACTATGCCGCATATTTGTTGACCAGGTATTTCAATTTTAAGGAAAACCTGCCGTTGCAGCGCGTGTTTTTTAGAATGTTGGACGAAGCAAAGTCGGCGGAAACAAATTTTTTGTTTGTCATGTCTACAAAGGTGCAAGATGAAACGGAACCTCGTTACAAAGGGCTACAGTTTGAAGTTTTGTATAAACATATGAACGAAACGGTAAATGCCATGATTTTGCAATTGTTTGAACAAATATCCCCGGTTACGGAGGAACTGCAAGATTATAACAAAGATGTGGGTTTACACTTGTCTCTATTGACCGCTCTGGGCAGTGGGAAGGATAACTTTTTTGAATATTGTTCGCCAAATTATCAATTACCTCTTGTTAGTAAAATTAATTATGATGATCCCAAATTGTATACCCAATAATGAATAAAAAGTTGACGAAATTTCCTGTTTTTCTATTGTCTTGATCCCCGACTCTTGTTTTTTTTTATGCTAAATGTGCTGGTAAAAAAGGCCCGGGAGTGGACAAGAAGAAGGAATGCTACTTGCTCTCTCGGGGCTACCATCTGTATCAATTTGAATTTTAACCAAGCCTATTGGCTTTACACCGACACTTGTCGTTTTTCAAGCCACCAAGTCGATTCGAGAGACTGGGTAAATAGATTTAACTTGCATACATGGTCAAGTCGACCAAATTGGCTCCAAACCGACACTTGTCGTTTTTTCAAGCCACCAAGTCGATTCGAAAGACTGGGTAAATAGATTTAACTTGCATACATGGTCAAGTCGACCAAATTGGCTCCAAATTGGTTTTACACCGACACTTGGAGTTTTCAAGCCAACGACTAGCCTCTAGGGGGCGAGTAAATTCAATTTAAATTTAAAAATAAATATCAGAAAATAATTAAAATGTGGAGCCAATTTGGAATTGGCCAAGCGGCGGGGACTAGCACCCCATATTTCACGACGTCATTTGGAACCAACACTGAGCCAAAAGCGGTTTTTTGGCCAAGCTTTCACGGCGTCATCAGTCGAGACTGCAGCTCTTTATATAGTTACGACCTCCGACCCATACTAGATAACGAAAATGGGCGTGGTTTTCAGATTTTAGTCAGGTGGTGACTGGTTGAACCACATGTTGGCTCGTTTGGACAATTCATGTGCATTTGACACCAATCTCTACGATTAGGTCTTCCGCGAGCATTTTAAACTACCCACTCTACACATACTCATTATTTTAGCAACCATATTGGCGACAAATTGACTCAAGTAAGTAGGCAATTTCATATACGTATGTGTGGTATTCCCTCTTTGACACCGGTCATGCCGAAACTTTGGCGGAAATTTTAGTTTGTTGTTTCTATTAAACGATAACCATCCACTCCAAATTACACAGGGCAGAGTTTGAAAAAAAATAAAAGATAACTTGTCCTTGTATACATTATATATTTATTTAAAAAGCATAAAACCTATGTGTTTACATCAAAGCTATTGGAAAACATGATGCGCATAAAGTATTGATCATTGCGCCTATATTTGCCAAAATAATCAATTTTATTGAGCCACTTTGAAAAACTAGAATTTGATCCAAATTTGTGCTCTATACGATTTTTGTTGTTTTCCCACCACTTTTCTAAAATCTCTTGAAGGCGAGTTTCCGATATTGGTACATGATGGTACTCGATGTGAGCGTGTTTGGAGAATAATTTCAAGGGATTTGTGCGAGAAAAGTATTTGATGTAATCGTCCCGCACGTGGCACGTTTGAATTTTAGGAATTGGGTGAGTTAGGGTATTGAAGAAGAATGGTGTGCAAAAGTGCATCGAAAAAAATTCCAATTTCTCTGAGAAATTCACAGTACGACCGCTAGTGTGAAGATTCATCAGTAATTGTCCGCCCAAATATAAAGATGGTATTAAATTTTCAACTCGGTGTCGAATCAAGCGATCCAGGCCCGATTCGTAGTCTTTGAAGGTGTACGATAGTGGGATGGGATAATAGCGTTGATAAAAGCCATCATCGGTGGCATTCTCCACTTGTACGGGCTCGTTGGTGCAAAACACAACTTTGGCTCTAATGGGAAACTCGATAACTTCGGTAGCGTGACAATCCCTGGTTACCAATTTGCCGACATCGATATACGATTTGAATCGAGACACTAGCACCATATTTTCCTCGTTCATGTGACAGATGAAATTAAGCCCTATTGTTCTCGCATTCGGGTCATTGTCTCCCGTGGTAGATTCCTTGAATTGTTTGGATGTCAAATTGGCGTTCATGGTGGAGTTGAACGTTTTCGACAAGATGCCCAATAGACTGGTCTTACCCGACCCCGATGCTCCGTACAAATTGATTCCTATTCTAAGCGGGTTTCCCAAATATTCGCAATAACCCAATAGTTTTATCAACTCTAGAAACAAGTCCATATTGTAATTGGCCGATCTAATTAATTCCATTAGCGCAGAGACAATCTTTGTTTTCGATTCGGGGCTCACGTATTGCACAAGTTTATGTTTTTCAGCAATTCGTTCCGTGTCAGTCAAGTGGGCCGTATAATATTCCAGAATAGTGTCCACATTAAAGACATTGTTGTATTCGGGGCAGGTTGTCAACTCGGTAGATTTGTCAAATTCTTCAAAGACTGGAATCAAATCATCCGAGGTGCGGCAAGTGATTTTACCATGAGGCACCAATTCATCGGCCAAGCTGCACAATTCTGTATACAAAATTTTTCTATACGAGTTTATGTACTCGAATATGGGCGTGTTGTTGAGCCGGTGATCGTCGCCCATTCGTATAAACCACGACGTCACCAATAATACAAACAAGTTGATGTCTTGATGCGACACATCAATGCCGGTCAATCGCGACTCTGCGTCGTCGGCAAACAACGGGCCAATGTTGATCTGTCTGAAACATTCTAGCGTCTCGCTAACAGATTCAATGTGTCTCTTGTCGACCACATTCAAGGGCCTCTCGAATATCGGCGCTATCAAATCCTCCATGTCCATGTTCAAATCTTTAATTTGTGACATTATACTATGTTGGAAACCTTTTATCGCTTCTTGATGATTCGTCTCACTGTTCAAGAGACGTCTAATTAGAGCTACATTGCACATGTCTGTAGATTCTTCCAGTCGTGGTTCCAGGTTGGATTCCTCTGGTAAAAAATACTCTACCATATCGTCGGTAATACTCGATTGATCGATGCGACTCTCCTTTGATACCGTGTTGTCCTTTTGATTCCAGGAACAATGAAATTTTGTGCCAATACATTGCCAATAATCAGTTCCAAATAGTTTGGATATTAGCATGGAGGGTGTGTCAAAGGCCACATTGAATTTAGAGTTTAGCGTGTATACCATGGCCACCATAACCAGAAATAATTTCCTCAAGTGGGGCAGTTTGTTTAGATATTGCATAATGTGCTTTGTGAAAATCTTCGAATGCACGTTTTGTTTTTGAATAACCACCGTCAAGTCTTCCAAGAGAGTTTGAAAAGTGGCCACGGCAAACTCTTCGATACTATTATTAGACTTGCCATAATATTCGTGCGTGCTCGGATACGACTCGTACACGGGCCATAAAGGGGCCACCAGTGTATGGTAAAATGTGGTGGCCTGTAGGTATTCGATAAAACTGGGTATTTTTAGGGTGCAATTGAACGCGTATTCGTAGAGTGCTATGGATGGGTGCATAAGATCGAACGGTGTTCCGAATACTCGCCAAACCAACTCGAGTAGAGATGGGCCGTTAGCTTCCATCACACGAGTGTATGGATTGTATATGCCATAGTTGCATCTATACGAGTAGGCGCATTCGCATTCGGGTAATTTTAGCCAAGGCAGGGCTAGTTTTTTTAAAATTTTGTGCGAAGACTCATCAGACATATATAATCGAAACCCTCATCTATGAGACTCACAAGTATAAGCATTACACACCCACCTACCCATCCACCATGATACCCAAAGTGATTTATATTGTGGATATGGACGGTTTTCTGGTCGATGGGGGTTTTTTATGTAAAGAAATGGCCTGGGTGGACGTAGAAACAAACGAGGTAGAGTGCCGACATTTTCAAGTGACTACAAATAAATCATTTACACAATTGGGCCCAAAAGATAAACGCACGGTTTCGTACGTGTCGCGACATGTACACGGTATGCCGTACAAAGATTTTCCTTCGGATGACCCCCAATACGACATCATTTCCATTTTGCGCAGATTGGCCCAGGACGCAACCCGAAGGAACGGCTTAATCGGCTACAAAGGCGGGCATGTGGAATTGGATTGGTTCCAGAGTCTAAATATCTATAATTATATAAATATCGAAAATCATCCCTTCAATTGTCCAACGTTTAAAAAGTTGAATATGGTTTATTCGAGAACGGCACAAACGACATTACAGCGCGCCCAAGAGAAAAAGTGTTTGCGCCACACAATGTTCATGGGTCGGAATCCGGTACATTGTGCCGCTACCGAAGTATACCTGTTTGCGCGGTTCATTGCAAATAAGGTGGAAGGCAATGGATCAGCTTTTGATTAAAATTATAGACAAGGTCCAAGTCAATCCAAAATTGCTCAAAGATCCGCTATTTATTATGGGCGAATATATCAAAACGCCAGTGTGTTTCCAAAAAACAGTGCCTATTGAAAAAATTATTAAATTTGTGGAAAATATCAATCTTCAAGAATTGTATCATGTGAGCAACGCACACACCCAGGAGGAGAAGATTCGCAGGGTGTTGCGGCTATACGTTCAAAAGGGATAAAAATTTAGAGGCAATGAATTAAACTGTACAATTTTTTATATTTTTTTAATATTTGTATAATTTACCGTGTTTATATAATATGTCAAACACTTGGTACACATGTTGTGCAAATAAATAAATTTAATTTGATCATTTGTTTTTTGTACACTCAAACCTATGTTTACTCAAACCTATGTTTAAGATGGCAGCTAAATTTTTAAAAGGAATTTCTACATTGACTACAAAAATCCCCGAACTACAATCGGTAGCTAAAATATCCAATGTGGCCAAATCAGACGATCTATTTCTGCACATTATAACCAAAAACCCGGGTGTACGGGCCCGCCTGTTGAAGTATATAGTGATTGGTGGGTCGGTGACGGCGCTGACGGCGACCGGATTGCACGCCTATTTATCCACTAGACAGGCGCAAATGAGTGGCTGTTTTCGTTACGAATTTGATAGTTCCACGGGTCACTTGAAGAGTGTTTGTAAAGTGGCCCAGTGCACCTGTGGCCCAAATTCCACCCAAGTGGCCAAAGATAAATATCTTTGCCAACCGCACGAGCTATTGGATATTCAAAAGGAAATAAAGTGCAAGGAGCCGGGCACCGACGGGTATACGCCGTGCGTTGGTTGCAGTCTCGGAGCCTTGGCGGGAGCAAAGGTGCCACCGAATGTAGTATACTATTGTCATACGCCGTCGTTGCTAGAGGTGTCGGGTGCCATGATCGACTGGGCCGCCGTGGAAACGCGCTCATTTGTATCAAACGTTTCCGATATTCTATTGGGTACAATTAAAACGTTTTTCAAATATGTGCCTTTTATAGCAATGGCCGGCGGTTTGATATTTTTTGTTTACCTTTATATGCAAGCTAGAGCGGAGCTTCCGCGCAATCACAGGGAGCCCCCAACTCCCACTACGTAGAGGGGGGTAATCGCCGCGCTTGCTTCCACCCGGATCACGGGCGTATATAAGGCGCGAGTTCTACTCGCTATTATTCATTTAAAGGTGATGAGTATATTAAAGAAGGATGAATCAAAAAATTATGGAGCGCGCAATCTTCAATTGTGCAACCACTTGGATCAAGGAAAAAAATAAAAAATCTACAGACGATCTAGAGTTGAAGCTGACAACGGTCGCCTTGCTGTGCGGCTTTTTAGACCGCGACGAACAACATATTCGACTGTTGATGCGACTCTTGAACCCCAATATACCGGCCGAACTGCATTTGCTCAAGCTATTAACTCGGTTGCTCGAATCCACGTCTACTACCAAAAATTGCTATCTCCCAGAATCATTTAGAGTTTTGTAATTAAATGGGATAAATTAAAGAACATCTCGACGAGAATATACTGTTTTATTTTTTTCAGTTAAAGCGCTCCAGGAAATTACTTTAACCTTTACCCAAGTGCGGTATAGAGATAACACGGAATCTTGTATGCGTGTAGTGTTATTACGAGGCGAGGCGAGGATGGAATTACAGCGGAGCTTCTGAAAGCGGGTGGAAAACCGGTACTTGAATTCCTTCAGAAGCTCTTTAATTCCGTCCTCCATGGTGGCATTACACCGGAGGCGTGGAGCAGAAGTGCGGTGGTCTTGTTCTTCAAGAAAGGCGACAACGCTCTCTTGAAGAACTACAGACCGATTTCCCTTCTGAGCCGCGTCTACGTGCTGTTTTCGAGAGTCATTACGAATCGTCTCGCGCGCAGACTTGACGACTTCCAGCCTCCCGAACAAGCCGGTTTCCGAAAAGGCTTTAGCACCATAGACCACATACATACCCTTCGGCAAATTGTACAGAAGTCCGAGGAGTACAATTTGCCACTATGTCTGGCGTATGTGGACTATGAGAAAGCCTTTGATTCCGTCGAAATTTGGGCGGTGCTGCAGTCCCTTCAGCGATGCCAAGTTGACTGTCGGTATATCGAAGTGTTGAAGTGCTTGTACAGTAGGGCTACGATGGCTATCCGAGTACAGAACCAGAGTACGAAACCTATCCAATTGCAGAGAGGTGTAAGACAGGGTGACGTCATATCCCCGAAACTCTTTACCGCTGCATTGGAAGATGTTTTCAAGCTTCTGGACTGGAAAGGATACGGTATCAACATCAATGGCGAGTACATCACTCACCTTCGATTTGCCGACGATATAGTCCTTATGGCAGAATCGCTGGAGGACCTAAGCACTATGCTCAATGACCTCAGTAGTGTTTCCCAACGGATAGGTCTTAAGATGAACATGGACAAAACAAAGATCATGTTTAATGTCCATGTCACACCTATGCCGGTAGTTGTTGGGAACACTAAGCTCGAAATTGTTGACGAGTATGTTTACCTGGGACAAATAGTCCGACTAGGTAAGTCCAACTTCGACCGAGAGGTCAATCGACGGATTCAACTCGGTTGGGCAGCGTTCGGGAAATTACGGCACATCTTCTCGTCAGGTATACCTCAAAACTTGAAAACGAGACTGTACACCCAGTGCGTGTTGCCAGTGATGACATACGGAACTGAGACGTGGTCCTTCACTGCTGGCCGGATGAGGAAGCTCAAGGTCGCTCAGCGAGCTATGGAGAGGGCTATGCTCGGAGTTTCTCTGCGTGATAAACTCAGAAATGAGGATATCCGCAGTAGAACTAAAGTGACCGACATAGCCCAACGGATTAGTAAGCTGAAGTGGCAATGGGCCGGCCATATAGCTCGAAGAACCGACAACCGATGGGGAAGAAAGGTTCTCGAGTGGCAGCCTCGTACCGGCAGGCGAAGTGTAGGGCGTCCCCCCACTAGATGGAGTGACGGCCTGGTAAGATATGCAGGAAGTCGATGGATGCAGGTGGCTCAGGACCGTGCTTTGTGGCATTCTTTGGGGGAGGCCTATGTTCAGCAGTGGACTTGTGAAGGGCTGTAATGATGATGATGATGAGCTTTATTAACATGAGACATAATTGTACGAGTGCTTACAATACTTAACATTATTTTACTGAAATCTCAGAAAGTTTTTTTTTTAAAATAGAATAAGGGTGACAAACGAGCACACAGTCCACCTGGTGGTAAGTGGTTGCTACGGCCCATACACATCTACATCTGTTCTCGATTACGTATCAAAATGTAGATGCGTTGTTACCCGTGAGGACTAAGATGTAATGCCTCGTTTCCAGTAAAAAGTTTCTCCGGTCTCTACACTCACCATACGAAACACAGCAGGGTTAAACTGCTATTTTACATGTTATTCTGTGAGAGCGTGGCCCTTCCCCGGTCGAGCCGACCCATTCTTGCTACAAATATACCTACTACTAATATAGCTGCAGCATGGCTCTACCACGTAAAAAAAAATTGACGTTGAAAATTTAAGTATTTTTAGAAGCAACTTTGCAATTATTTTTTATTAAGTTAATTTTTGTGGAATCGTGTTTTGCAAACCGCCACCTGAAATACGTACAATTTTTTTCGATAATGACGTGAAATTACAAAACGATCCCCATGCATTTCAATGTGGCTATATTCAGCTTCTTAATATGAACATACCTCGGGATTTAGAAAATTTTAAAAGTTTTCATGCGTAGATAATGCAAGATATAATATTATGTTATTACTGTCCCGTGTGAGGCAACATTTATACTTATAGTCATATTCTCATCATGTATTTATGGTTGGTTAGAAAAATGATATCTAAATGCAAACTTTCACAGGGTACATTTTTTTTACTATTTTTACCCAGCAAGTAGTAAAGCAACTATAATCCCATCTGTAAGTGGTTATGTAGCCTAAAATGGTGAATTGCACTGACTTAACAAAAACCTATTCACTCTTGCCTAATAGTACTAGGTAAGTATTATTTGCGACCTATTTGTGTGTGTGTGTGTGTGTGTGTATAATAATAAAGTAAAGTAATATTTACCATTTAACATTTTTTAACATTTAATAATTTTAACATTTTTTAGATGATAGTTTGTCTAACATAAAAAAAAACCGTAAACCCAAGAATGTCTTTATATAGGTATTTATACTTAGGGAAACACCATTTTTTTTATTTATTTAAATTGTTTGATTTAATTTGATAACAGTGTACCTAAATGTTAGTATCTTTACCTATATTTCCCTCCCCAATAATATTTTATAATGTCATACTTATATAAACAGCGTTTTATTGTAATCATCATTCTCTAAACCATTTCCCATTATCTGGGGTCGGCGCAGTAAATCTTTTTGTTCCATTCCTCTCTATCAGCCGTCATTTCCATACTTACTCCTTTCATTCTCATATCACTCTTCACACAATCGATCCATCTTTTATTCGGCCTTCCTCTGCACGTGTGTCCCTCCACATTCATATTCAACACTCGTTTTGTGACATGACTTTCATTCCTCCGCATCACATGCCCAAACCATGCCAATCTGCTTCCTCTAACCTTTTCTACCACTGGCGCTACTTTCAGGCTTCCTCTTATATACTCATTCCTTATCTTATCCATCCTTGTCACACCACACATCCATCGTAACATTCTCATTTCATTCGCATGCAGTCTATTTTCATCCTTCTTCTTGACGGCCCAGCATTCACTTCCATACATGACGACAGGTCGGATGATCGATTTGTAAATTTTCCCCTTCAGCCTTATTGGCATTCGGGGATCGCACGTTGTGGCTGTGACCTGTCGCCATTTCATCCACCCTGCGTTATTCCTATGCTGCACAGCTCTATCTATTCCGCCGTCGCCTTGAATGAGGGAACCGAGGTACTTGACATCTGAGCAGATAGGCAGTATAGCGCCATCCAACGACATGGGTACAGGACTGGAAAGACCGCCGAAATCACAGCACAGATATTCGGTTTTGGATCTGCTGATCTTCAAGCCAACACTTTCCAGCCTCCGTTGCCACCCCGTCAGTCTGCTCTGTACCTCGATGCCTTCTTCCCCGACAAGCACGATGTCATCGGCAAAGAGCATGCACCAGGGTGCCTCATCCTGCAGGTCCGACGTCAAAGCGTCCATAATCAGTAGGAAGAGGTAAGGGCTCAGTGCCGACCCTTGGTGCAGCCCTACCGCCACATCGACACTGCCCATAGTTCCCGCGGCAGATCGTACACATGTACGGGATGCTCTGTACATAGCACGGACCAACCTCACATACTTCCCAGGCATACCTTTCATCTTCAACGCCCACCACAAGACCTCACGGGGAACCCGATCGTACGCCTTTTCAAGGTCGACAAAAACCATGTGCAGATCTTTATGCACGCGCTTGTACTTTTCGCACAATTGGCGTAATGCGAAAATGGCATCTGTCGTACCTCGACCGGGCATGAATCCGAACTGTGATATATGTAGGTATAAATTAATATTGTATTATGTAGGTAGGCGCCACCGCGCGTCTTCCCCAGCGAGTCGCTCAATACATGCTATGAAGTCACACCGTGTTTTATTATTAAAATACCGAGTTATCCAGAATCTCTCAGTGGCGACGAGGATAGCAACGAACTCTTGGAAAAGTATTTATAAACGACAAGTATTTAATTAAAATGTCGATTGGAAGAATTCCTGAGTTTGACCTACATAAGGACGATTGGAGGTCATACGTCGACCGCCTCGAACAATATTTTGTTGTCAACAAAATTTCGGAGGATTTACAAGTTCCGACGTTAATTACCGTGATGGGAGCCGAGTGTTACGAACTGTTAGTGAATTTATGTACTCCAACCAAACAAAAAGATAAATCTTTTTTGGAAATCACAAACATTCTAGAAAAACATCTCCAACCAAAACCAAGTACCCTCGCAGAAAGATATAAATTCCGGCATAGGAAACAAAAAAGTTGTGAAACAATAGCGGAGTATGCAGCAATATTGAAGAGGATATCGAAATCTTGTGAATTTGGTCAATGGTTGGAAGAAAGTTTAAGAGATCAGCTGGTGTGCGGTATTCTAAGCGAAACTATAAGGCAACGACTATTCGCAGCAGACACGTTGGAATATGGGAAAGCGTATAGCTTGGCAGTGAACATGGAGGCGGCGGAGAAGGATGCAGCGGCTGTGGAAGGATACGGGCAAGGTGAATCGTCGTGCAGCTCGAGCACGGCTGAGTGCCAGGCGATGGCAGCGACTCGACGTGGCAACGGACGCGGTCGGCCAGGGAGGACGGCACCTACGGCATCGAGGTGGCAGCGGCAGCAAGGAAAAGCAGCGGACGGAGCACAACAATGTGCTGCGTGCGGTGGACCCCATGGCGGCACGAAGTGTCGGTTCGCGGCATATGTGTGCAGAGTATGTAATCGTAAGGGGCATCTACGTCGGATGTGCCCAAACCTGACGACGTACCATCACGTAGACATCGGAACACCTAAAGTGGTCGAATCGGACGAGACGGACAGTGACGAGGTAAGAATATTTGATATAAAAAAATTGTCCATAGAAGAGTGTACACCGCTATGTATTTCAATCAACGTTCACGGAAAAGATTGACATGGAGTGTGACACGGGTAGCGCCGTATCTTGTATAAGTTACAAATTTTATAAACATAATTTTAGTGATTTACCTATCAGCAAATGTAATGTTTTACTTAGATATTACACAGGTGAAATAGTTCGTCCGGTGGGGGTGGCTACGCCACTAGTGAGGTATAAAAATACACAAAAAAAATTAAATTTGTTCATAATCAGAGATGGTAAAACCGTTCTTTTGGGTCGACAGTGGTTAGCCGAACTTAATATTCAACTACCAGTGTTTCAGTATCACGATGTAAACAATGTTAATTATAAGGATTTTGACGAAAGTAATTTTATGTATAGATTCAGTGAAGTATTTGCGGATGAGCTTGGACGGTTCAGCGGCGGGCGGGTTAGCATCCACCTGCGGCAGGGGGCGCGGCCGGTGTTCATGCGCGCGCGTCCTCTGGCGTATGCGCTGCGGGAACCGGTGGAGCGAGCGCTCGAGCAGCTGGTGCGAGACGGCGTCCTCACGCCGGTGGAGCGCTCCGACTGGGCCACACCCATTGTACCCGTTCTCAAAAAGGATGGTAATATTAGAATTTGCGCTGATTATAAATTAACACTGAATAAAGTGCTAGAAGTCGACCGTTATCCCTTGCCACGCATAGATGATTTGTTATCGCGTTTACATGGCGGTGAACGTTTCAGTAAGATTGATTTATCTCAGGCGTACGCTCAGTTGGAGCTTGACGAATCAAAAAAGTATACGGTTATCAATACACATAAGGGTTTATACATGTACATTCGACTAGTTTACGGCTTGTCGTCGAGTCCAGGAATTTTTCAAAAACACTTAGAAGAATTATTGACAGGGTTACCGAAAGTGGGTGTATTTTTAGATGACGTAATTATAACGGGTCCTGATAGTCGTAGTCACATAAAAAAATTATATAAAGTGTTCGAGCGATTGCAGTCTCACGGGCTGCGCGTTAAGAAAGAAAAATGTGTATTTTTCGCAGAATCTATGAACTACTTAGGGCACGTCATTAGTAAAGAGGGTGTTCACACGTGTCCGGAAAAAGTCCGGGCAATTGTAAACACGCCTGCACCCACCAATATTTCAGAACTGCGATCTTTCATCGGGCTAGTAATGTATTATGGTAAATTCGTACGAAATGTTAGTTCATTGCTGGCCCCGTTATATCGTTTGCTAAAAACCGGGGTTCGATTCCTGTGGAGTACTGAGTGTCAATTGGCATTCAATGAAGTAAAAAAAATATTAAGTTCGAGCGAAGTGCTTGCTCATTATACGTTAGACTTACCCGTGGTACTGACGGCGGACGCCAGCGGGGTCGGAGTCGGCGCCGTGATATCGCATATCACTGAAGAGGGAGAGCGGCCGATCGCATATGCGTCGCGTACTCTCAGCGCGGCCGAGCGGGCCTATGCGCAGATAGATCGAGAGGCCTTAGCAATAATATTCGGTATTAAAAAGTTTCATCAGTACTTATATGGTAGAAAATTCGTTTTAAGGACTGATCACAAACCCTTGACGTATATTTTCGGCAGTAAAGTGGGCATTCCAGTTATGGCCGCTTCGAGATTACAGCGTTGGGCAGTATTATTGTCGGGATACAATTATGACATAGAATATGTAAGTTCACACAAAAATTGTGCAGATGCGTTATCTCGTTTGCCGCAACCGGTACATAAACGGCTTCCGAAGTCGGAGGGAATGAATTACATTAATTTCGTAGAAAATTTTCTCCCGGTCACAAATGATGACGTCAGAACGGCAACAGCAAGCGATCCGGAATTAAGTAGAATTTTAACCTATGTTCAGTCCGGATGGCCCGCGTCCTGCCCAAAAGAAGTGTTGCAGCAATATTATATTAAACGTAATGAACTATACATAGATAGGGGCTGTATTATGTGGGGTTACCGCTTGGTGATACCGCGCACTTTAAGAAAAAAAATACTTATGCAATTACATACTGGTCACATGGGCATTGTTAAAACTAAGTCCATAGCTCGAAGTTACGTATGGTGGCCTAATATAGATACAGACGTCGAATCCGAATGCCGAGCATGTGAGACGTGCGCGGTGGAGTCACAAGCACCCCCGCGCACCCCACCGCAGCCTTGGCCGTACCATTTGCAGCCATGGAGCAGACTCCATATAGATTTTTTAGGCCCTTTTAACGGAAAAAAAATTCTTATTTTAATAGACTCCAGTACGAAATGGCTAGAAGTGTTTGAAATGCCAAAAACAAATGCTACAGCGGTTATTAAGGTATTACGGTGTACGTTCGCAAGATTCGGCTTACCACTAGAGCTAGTATCGGATCAAGGGCCACCCTTCACTAGCGCGGAATTTAAGGAGTTTTTAACACGAAATGGTATTCAGCAACGTTTCTCGCCTGCTTATCACCCGTCTTCGAATGGCGCCGCGGAAAATGCTGTAAATATTTGTAAAAAAGCAATAAAAAAAGCACATAGGGAATCAATCGATGTTGACGCCGCGTTGCAAACATTTTTACTTACTTATCGTAACAGTATACACAGCAGCACAGGTGAAAGCCCTTCAATGCTGTTACAAAAACGAACGTTACGATCACGGCTAGACTTATTACGAAGCGATCGCGCGCTCATAAATAAGGTAAATCAGGCTCAAAGTAAGCAAGTGGAGTACACGGGCGGGGTGCAGCGCTCGTTTGCACCGGGGGAACCTGTGTGGGTGCGAGAGTACGGCCACAAGGATAGGTGGGTGAAGGGAACGATAGTTCATGGCGAAGGTTCGAGGAGATATTCTGTGGACAAGGGGGACAGTCGACAAGTAGTTAAGCACGTTGATCAAATCAAGCGCAGATCAGGGTTGTACGACATACCATTCCCTGAGGAGCAAAGCGAGTCAATGAGGGTACAAATACCTGATAGTAGTGGCTCGGCGAGACACGGAATGTCGAAGGAGGACGACGGCCCGGACACATCCCCGACTACGGTTGTGGGTGATTCGGGAAAGGAGAGGAAACGGGTTTCGAGTGAACGCATTAAAAGTCCTGGAATCGAATATAGTACACCGCCAACGTCACCTAGTGCACCGTCGCCTGAACCGCCTCGAGCCCGATCCGGGCGAGTTCGTAAACCTGTTGTTAGGTTTCAAGTTTAGCTTAGTTTATTAGTTTATTAGATTTAGTAACTAAGTTTAGTTTAGTTTATTACATTTATAGATAATGTATTATATAGTTAAGGTATTATTATAAGTACATTTGTGATTACATAATTATGTACCTTACTTAATAATATCTGATAATACCATATATTAAGAAGGGAGGTGTGATATATGTAGGTATAAATTAATATTGTATTATGTAGGTAGGCGCCACCGCGCGTCTTCCCCAGCGAGTCGCTCAATACATGCTATGAAGTCACACCGTGTTTTATTATTAAAATACCGAGTTATCCAGAATCTCTCAGTTTTGTGTTATCTCACACTCTTCTCTCATTCTTCTCTCTATTATTCTTTCCCAGACTTTCATCGCATGTGACATGAGCTTTATTCCCCGGTAACTGCTGCAGTTTTGAACGTCTCCTTTATTTTTAAAAATGGGAACCAGTATACTACTGCACCATTCCTCAGGTATTTGTTCTTCCTGCAACAATTTACCGAAAAATGAACTCAACCACTTCCATCCATCCGCCCTCAGCAACTTCCACACTTCTACTGGTATTCCATCTGGGCCGACCGCCTTCCCATTCTTCATATTCCTAACAGCCATTTTTACTTCTTCCACACTAATTTCTCTCACTAAGCCCATATTCACTGGTGGGTTTTCAAGCATACCATTCCATTCATTCTCCTCATTCATCAATTTCTCAAAATACTCCTTCCATCGCTTCTTTATACTTTCATCGTCAGTCAAAATCCTTCCAGAATCATCTTTTATACATTTTACATGTGAAACATCTCTTCCATTCCTTTCTCTCGCTCTTGCAATTTGAAAAAGTCGTTTTTGACCTTCGGGGCTTTCAAGGGACCGATATAATTTATCGTGCGCCTCTGCCCTACAAATAGCAACTTCCTTCTTTGCTCTCTTCTTACATTCTTTATACGCCCCTCTCTTACTTTCTTTTATGGATTCATTCTGGTCTTCTACGCTCTGCCATTCTTTAAAGGCATTTTTCTTTTCTCTCAAAACTTCTCTAATACTTTCACTCCACCACCACCCATCCTTATCTATCATACGCTTCCCTTTTGTTTCTCCTAACACCTTCCTTGCCACACTTCGGATACAATCAGCCATTTCCTTCCAGCACTCATTCACACTCATTCCTTCCATATCACCCATCTCTATCATCTTGTTTACGACTAGCTCTCTAAATTCACTTGCATACCCCTCCTTATGCAGCAAATGCCACTTTATTTTGGGTGGGGGACCATCCTTATGTTTGTTGAGGCGAACAGTTAAGCAGATGTCAGCCAGCAGGATTCGGTGCTGGGATACTAAGTCTTCACCTGGAAGCACTTTGCAGTTTTTTACACTCTTGATTTGGTTCCGTCTTATCAGAAGATAGTCGATCTGTGTCGCGTGGTAGCCACTTTTATAAGTAACAAGATGCTGATCTCGTTTTTGGAACCACGTGTTTACTACAGCCAGGTCGAAAGCACATGCTGCTTGCAGAAGAACTTCCCCCTCACGGTTCCGCACTCCGTACCCCCATCCACCGTGAACTCTTTCATACCCGTCATTCACTCTCCCTACATGTCCATTAAAATCTCCTCCCATATAAACATCCTCACGCTCAGGTATTCCCATCATCATACAATCAAATTCCTCCCAAAACTTCTCTTTCACACTCTCTTCACAGCCTGTTTGCGGAGCGTACACACTTACAACATTCACTACTTTGTTTTCAATCATTAATTTAACAACTATCATTCTGTCATTTACTCTTTTCACATCTGTCACTCGTTCTTTCATTCCACTATCTAACACAACTCCTACTCCATTTCGCTTCCCATCACTTCCACAATAATAAAACTTGTATCCCTCCCCAATCTCTCTTGCTTTATTGCCCTTCCATTTTGTTTCCTGCAAACAGGCAACATTCACTCTTCGTCGTTTCAAAACATCTGCTAACTCTCTTCCTCTTCCAGTCATCGTACCTATATTCCAGCTTGCAAACCTCACTCTGACATTCTTCTCTCTCCGGGCTCGCCTCTTACGTCGCACCCGCTCCGTAAGGTGCGACAACCCTTGCCCACTTCCCACAGGAGCCAGGTGCTGCCCCTGCGCGTCGCCTGCGGGGTACGCCCTAGCCCTGTCATATGTCCCACAACTCGTACTATTCATTTACTGCATGGGATTTGGCAAAAGTTTTACAATCGGCCGCCTGCCTGACACCAACCCTCTTTGGGTATGCTATTGCTGGTAGAGGAATCTACCATTTTGGGAAAAGGAAAAAGAAGTTTGGGGGTAGGAGCATAGGTGTAAGGATACTGTTATCTTGGCAGGAAAGGTATGAGAATAACAGTAGCTCGGGGAGCCGGGGTCGCGTACCCGTATTCCATAACAGGATCACCGGAAAGGTAGACCAGCATGAAAACCCCCTGACTAGCGTTTTATTGTAATACATAATAAAAATGTGCAACAATAAAATTACATAGGTATTAAAAACTATCGAAATCTAAGTAACGAGAGCATGTTCGTCGTTCCACATCTAAATTATATAAAAATGCATTTTTCAATTTCACTAATCAACGTCGCCGCAAAAATTTGTTCTTCTTTGGACACTTTAAAAATTCATTTTTTTAGAAAATTATATTTACAGTTACCAGTATACAGATATTAACTAAATTAAGTATTTCTAGTCATAAAAATATTTATAATTGAGTATAAACTGTTAAAAAACTAATATATATTTGAACGAAGTCGCTCCAACACCGACGTGCGGTCCACCCTCGACGATGTCCGAAAACGGACTGTGACAGAGCTTACATGGCGACGGAGCATGCGCGCTCGCGTAAATATATTCAATTTTAGGGAAAAATTATATATTCTCTTATAAAACGGGTAATAAAATAAAACTCTCAATTAAAAATATTAATATTTTTAAGACCTTTTTTTTAGTGTTAGAACTAATTAAAAAGCTTGTGCCGTTTTGGAGAAATTTTGCAAAATATGACAAAGATAGGTAGTCTTTGGGGATTTTTTTTTCTAATAAGGGGTTGACAAAAATACAATTTTGTTAAATTAAAAACATTTACCAAATCTTCTTCTGTTACCCTGTATTTGTTCTTTGTGGATTAAATGAACAGTTATTGAGAGTTTTTTACTTAAATATCCTAAATTTAGGCATTTCAACCACTGTTAAGGCCTTAATATACTAAGCGAGCAGTTTCCACATCAGTTAACTGTCTAATCCTACGTACTGCAAATGCATCAGAACTTAGTTTTTTTGCAAGAGTAGATATATGAGCGCTCAACTGAAGCTTAGAATCCAATGTAATTCCGAAAAATACTGTTGAGTTCACCATGTTCAACGGTTTCTCACCAATAGACTTAGATTCATCCACTACTAAAAATATATTAATATTAAAATGTACGTTTATTAGAACTAGGTTAACTTTACATACTAAAGCCACGTATCGATTATGCGCTCCAAGAGGTTGAACATTGGCACGCGCTCCACCCGCGCGAAATGGATACCGCCTTGGAGCGCGCGCCAAATTGTTCGTTAGAGCGCCCAAACGCGGAGCGGGCCGCTCCATCTGGTGTCGATTATTTACCGCGCATCAAAGTAGTTTAAGTTTTGGCGCGCGCGCCAGTTTCGACGTTTGTTTTCATTATTTGCGTTCCGAGCTATAGATAACCAAAGTTGCCATAAATTAACACAATTATATAGCTTAAAAGATCTGCTGTGGAATGCCAAAGTTTTTATCATAATAAAGCATTCAGAGAAAATGCACAGAACTATGAAAGCGGCAGCTGCTCGTACACGACCGACATCCATATTGAACGGTCAAACACAGAAGCGGATGCCGCACGCGCAAGGAGCGCTTAGTTGATATACTTCGAACATTTCCGCGTTCTGCTGAGCGCACTGGTTGGAGCGGTCATTCATGGCGCGCGCGCCAGGAGCGCATATCGATTACGCGGCTTTATATGAGAATAATAAGTATGGTTTATAATTGATCAAATCAATCGCCCGGGTAAGGACCACGCTCTCACAGGAAACCAGCGTAAAATAGCAGCTTAACGCTGCTGTGTTTCGTATGGTAAGTGTAGAGAACCGGAGACCCTTTTTACTGGCAAAGAGGCATTCCATCTTAGTCCTCACGGGTGACAACGCATCTGCATCTTGAGTCTTTATTGAGGATAGATGTAGATGTCTATGGGCTACAGCAACCACTTACCATCAGGTGGACTGTGTGCTCGATTGTCACCCTATACTATAAAAACAAAAAACAAAACAAACAAAGATTCAAAATCATAACAAGTACCATAATACCGCAGCTAATGTCTTCAAAGCAAGTTATGTAATTACGGCGATGTTTCCCCAAAAAAAGGGGACATCACTTATAATTTATTGCATATTTAACCCCTATTTCTATATGAAAAAAAAAAACGATAAAAGTTTCGTTATTTATTAATTTTATATTCCGGTAAGCTTTTACTTGAATACAAGACTATTAAAATATAGTCTTTTCATTTCATGTTCGTTCAAATATTTAATTATTGTATTAAAAACAAATATCTCTTATAAAATCTCGTGTCTCTTGTAAATGTAAATCTTTTCCCTCTTCTTTATTACCACGACTAGGCTTGCCTGTTTTATTATAAGGATCCATCTACATTATCGTTACCGCAACAGCCTATAAGGGTCCTCTGTTCAACATATGCCTCCCCCAGTCGAGATCTTGTAGTTTCTGTGGGCATGCTTGACCTGGCCTATCCGATACTCTAACGCCATCCCAAGGAGACAGCGTTCTTGTTTGATTAAACCTTTTTTTATGGAGAAATGCCTACGCATACCACCTCGCGGGGGCATGGACGGGTTATGTCGGACTCGCACCGACTAAAACCCCATGGTGTTCCACCTTCGCCGCAAATAGGCAGGGCCACGGAAACTCTTTCGCTACTAAGCCGTTTGACTAAACCTAAAGAAAAGAAAAAGTTGTGTTGTGTTAATTTTTATTTATAATTGTTACCAAATATACTTGTTTTAAACATGAAAGAAGAGGAAGTTAGCTACAACAATAGCGTATTGAAAAATTGTACATTAAAGGAAAAACAAAAGTCTGTCTGCTGCCGTTTTTCTATGTTTGTCATGATTAAATATGCTCGAATTGATTTTGATGCCTGCATGATGAAAACATATTCCGTCATGTTATTTTCTATGTTCTCTGCTGTTGCCTGAAACAAGGC